TAACTTAATAAAAGCAAAAAGAGGGCTAAAACGGTTAAAGTCAAAACACAGATACATTTTAGCAGAGACAGCATAAAAAAAATAAAGGACGGTTTAAATATGGAGGAAGGAAAGGAATTACCGAGAGCAAATGCCCACTAATGTGCTTAAATAAATTTTCTCCATTTAAGCCAATTAGTCCAGCGAACAAACGAACGTTTTGTTTCTTGTCAACTTTTTTACTGCCTGTCGCTGGTCCTGCCGCTTCAGCTTCAGCATCAGATTCAGCTGCAATTGCCGTCGTTGTCGCAGTTGCCTACAAAGGTTGCCTGCAAATGTATCTTTTTTGATTTTGTTGCTGCTTCAACTTTATTGAAGCCGTTTGAACTTCATCATCTTAGCTGCACATCCGTGGGATTAAAATTGTAGTTGCTTGATTAAGATCTGTTTTTCTTTTTTGAAGTACTTTATTTGCATGGAAGATATTCGTCGTATAGAACATAACATATAATCTTATACTAAGCATTAGAATAGAAACTTATTTGGTAGTAACTTAAAGTTATACTCCATAAGTAACTAAGACAAAGTCGAAGTTATTAAAATATTGTTTAGATATGCTTATAAATGTAATGAAAAGTATATATGAGTACTTGTTGAGCAAAGTATTTCAGTACTGTTTTATAGATGTATCAAGTAATGAACACTTAACTTTCATCGTAGTTAAAATGAAGATATTCAGTTAAAAATGATAAACTTAACGAACTAATATACTTATGTTCTATTTTTAATATATTTTATTTTACAAATACTCCATACTTCATACTGATTTAAGTCATATGCAATTAAAGCATAATACCTTGTTTAAGTCATCATTTTGTTCATACAAAAGAAGTCTAACTTTTTGCTAAAATAATTTTTGATTCAGTTTTTAAAACTGGTAAAATGAAAGTCTGTTCAATACTAAAAAATCCTTAAAGTTTCCAAAAACCTAGACTTAGTCTTGCCCCCTCAACAGTAAATTATGGACTAAAGTTTTTGAAGTAATTTAATTGAAATTGATCAGATTGTTTTATCGATTGTGTATCTAACCAGCATTGTATCTTTTCATAAATGCGAGTTTTTTTTCTCTAAAATTAAAATACTTCAAAAATATTGGCGAATGTCATAACAAATTGTATTTTATGGAACTTAACTTCAATTTTGTTGATCTTCGGTTATTTGTGCACCTTGAAGCGGTTCGTTTGAAGCTTGAGTACATTTCACAATCTCCAAATTAAGTGCATTATTGAAGCACTTTTGATTTAGTTTTTATTTCATAATTAGCAGAGTACATGATGAAGGCTTTCGTTTTCTTAAGTGATCTCAATCTGGTATTAAACAGAAGATGACTTTTCGGGAATCAAGTTTTTTTTTATTTCTGTATATTGTGTAAATATGAATGTAATGAGGTTATATATCATATTGACAATAAAGATTGAATAATTTGATTGATATTAAATTTTGGGTGGCTTATTTGCTAAGATGTTATGTATTGTCTTAACTCCAAATTTAGCAGCAATAAACAAATTTTGTGCAACTGATATAAATTGTATGAATTTTAATACCATGGCATAAGTGAGTCTAGACTAAGGCTAAATATTTATGTATTTATTTAAAAGTTTTTAAATTTATTTATTAAACATCTTATAAAATTTTCACAATGGTAACACCTAATATGGGCTGTAGCCAATTTCTGATATATCTGAGTTGTTTTAACTTTTGGTAGTTGATTCTTGTTTATTTCTAAGTAATGTGGATTTTATAGAATCAAGTCTGACCGTGTAAGATTTGCGATAATTAGGTAGTCCATGAGTACAATAAACGTTGATTATGTAGATTTAAGCCAATATCAGTGTATACCTTAGTTGCTTTAATCATATGTTACTAATAAAGTAAGATAGTCCGAAAGTCTATTTATTAATTACTATTAAGTAATATAGTAATTTAACTCATAAAAACCAAAGAAGTATCTATATAAAGAATTCAATTCTTGGTTGGTCCATGAGTCCTAATAGCACTTTCAAATCGTTTAATTAAGACATTTTGGTTTCCAACTAGTTGTTGTTGGGTTATTTGCGTTAGTAACACTACATCACGTACATTTAAGAAGGATTATAAATTATTTTTTGATAAACTCAATACTATATCTCATAGTAAAAAACATTTAATTGAAGTATAAATTTAGTACTTGAATTAATTAAAGTTGAATTTATTCACATATATATAACATAATGAATAAGTAACATTTAGTATTACTTTAAACATTGACAAGACAGTAACTAAAATGGGTAATTTTTAAATGTCAATTAACGTATGCTACCTTCTGTCATTTGGCCTGATAGCGACACATCAAGGCAATTAGACAATGTCACAAATTTTTACCCAGAAGAAAAAATGAATAATTTACTAAAGGTAAAACTAATACAAATCGAGCAAAAGTGTAAACGTCACTCAGCCCCTCATTGAACTCTTGAAATAATTAATAAAACTAAATGAAAATTATTAAAATTCAGTTTCCAGCACAAAAATAGGAACTGAACTGAGCGAACATGTCAGGCGTATGAATATTTGATAATTTAATTAGCAAAACGCAGGACACGTTTACACGTACACCGAATGCTTAAAATGCTTAAATGTAATTGCTTGTAAAAATGTTAACTTAAGGACTGAAATAAATGTTAAAACAAATTCAGGAATCTAACAAAGTATATAAAAAAAAGACGGTAACGAAAGTATGGCTAATAGTATTTTTACGTGCGATCACGCACTTTTGCACTCAACCTTGGGTTGATTTTTTCCTTCATTTAACTAATTTTTTTTTTTTTGTTTTGTGGGGTTTTTCGAATTATGGTCAACTGACTGGGACATCTTTACTTAAACAGAATTTCCATAATTAAGCAATAATTATGTGGTCTGTGTGGTGTGAGTTGTAGCGCATAAGTGAGTTCGGTGAGTTGGTGTGTGTCAGGTTTAGGGTGTATAAAAGCTAAAAATGTCACTAAGATGCCACATTGTAGCCCTGCCCACAAGTTCGAGATACAAAAAAGGATATGCGAAAGTCATTTATATTAATTTTCATAACTCGTTGATGAATTCTGTGCGATGTCGTAAAAGTGCCACATATTAAATTAAATTCAAGCAACGCCAAGAGTTGGCGAGGCGAAATTCGTCGTACTTGAAACCTTAGTTGCCCGTTTTAACGAAGACGAATTGATTTTTTATTTAAATTTCATTTGGTTGTATATTAAGTACAACACCTTAAAACCAAAAGATAAAGAATAGAAGAACTCACTACAGCTCCCACTTACTTTCGCGAAGAGACGACATTGCTTACATGTTTTAATTCACTAAAATCATGACAATTGACTCACGTGATTTTTATTGTTCCCGTACTTGAAGTTGTTGTTGCTGGTGCTGTTGTTACTGCTATTGTTGTTGCAATCATACTTGATGTTGTAATAGAATTTAGAGTGCGTGCCAATGAGTCATAATGCATATTTTGTACCGTGCATCATATCACTGATGTAACTACAATCATCACCTATTTTTTGACTTTGGTGAATGGTCGGTCGAAAGTTAGGCAGAGGTGACAGAAATTATTACTCACCTTCAGCGTAACTTATGAAGAGATATATGTTAACCCATGATAACCTGATGTCAGTTAGTTTTAATAGAAGTACAAATTGAGTAATGAATAAAAGTATGTTCTTTTAAAAAACGAATGAGAGAAGATAGAGATATTTAAGAAGTTAGGGGACAACATGTTACAATCTGTCCCCATGCCTTAATACTAATTGTAACTCCGAAGCAACATTTCATAATGAATAGAGATGTCGTGGAGTAATCCCAGTTCCATATATGATTAGAGTGTACACACGCCACACAGGAATAACACAGTTTGTGTGTATGTACACTGCAAAAGTCTTCATATTTCAACACTTATTGAATATAAACTTTTAAGGATGTTTTATATTTTTAAAATATTTATCATATTAAACATTTTAAGGACTTGTATGAGTCGTAACAATAACTTTACTGAATAACAAAGTTAGCAAAGATAATAAGTCCATTTTACTTAAAAATCTTGTTGAACTTGTGTTAATTATTGTATGATCACAATGAATCATTCAATTAATGTTAATATCAAACAGTCATATTATATAAGACATTTATGTAAGTAGCTGAAATGGATGAAATGGATTAGAGACAGAGACAAAAAATATTGGGGACAGGGTTGGAAATTTCATAATTAGTCGAAAGCATTCAGGAGCTTAAGTAAAAGCATTTTTAGACTACAGATTCTGTTGGGTGAGCAAAATTATAGCACCTTTATGTACTTGAATGTAGACCAAAGTAGTCCTAAACAGTGGCTTTAAACATATTTTCAGTTGTCTTTCATTTGACACCAGCGAGCATCTGTAGGAGTTCCAATGTGGACGACAGATGGCTTCAATAAAGAGACAGGATTGGGTATTTCACAACCAGTCGAAAACATACAGAAACGTGAATACTTGACTAATTTCTCCCCCGTGACTAATTTCTTGGTTAGAGATTTTCTAGAATGAGCTGATTTTGGATTCTGAAAGCAATGACTGATTTCTAGACCAGAGATTTTGTTGTGTGAGCTAAATTATAGCATCTCTATGTACTTGAATCTAGACTAAAGCAGTTGTAAACAGTGGCATAACACATGTATTCAGTTGACAGATGCCAACGAGCATCTGTAAGAGTATCAATATTGGAGGCAAGCTTCAACCATGCCATGTTTATTACGGCATCTTCATGCACTGCTGTAGCAGGTAGGATGAATCTTTGAGTATGCTATGATTAATGAGCTTGGTGATTTTAAATATAATTTATTTAATTTATTTAATTAGAAGTAGTAGACACAGATTTTTTTGAAATTTGTTTTAAAATTTACATAACTAAGCTTTTGAAATAAACTTCACTTATATAGAATTATAATATATATTCCACAAAAGTTGTGTAAAAATATATACAATAAGAAGTGTTAACAACTTTATTATATTTTTCTCTGTTACAATTACACTTTTTATACCTCACAATGGCCAAAAAACCTGAGTCTTCCTGTTCGAAATTCATTAAGGCTTCTGAATGCATAATATATAATGGCATTGCTGAAGCATCGAACTATATAGACTGCAGCTTCATTAGCAAATCTGAGTTCAAGTTTGATCACATGGCTGAGGAATGTGAATGTACTGACTGCAATTTCATCAAATCACCTGAGTTTAAGTATGATGCAATATCTGAAGAATCTGAGTGTTTTGAATTAAGTTTTATCAAACGCCCTCAGTGCTTATATGAATCGGATAGTAGTTATGAATACAGCGAATCATCCGACGAAGAGTTTCTCACTATCACCAATAAATCAAATGTAAAATTTAATGAGGTAAATAAATTGTTAATTTAAATATTAATTTGATTTATATTTTACTTTTAATTAATATTCGAAAATTGATTTATTTATTAATATTGCAGGCGCTTGCTCGGTACACACGTGAACTGATGCAAAAAAACGCTAAAAGTTTACGAAGCGTTTTGCAATATGATATAACCTCTTCCTCATCGGAAGAGCTGAGCGAAACTGATGATGATTATACATATGACTTGGTTAGGAAACATAAAGAGATGAATTTGTTGAAAGATAACACAAAACTGGCACTTGACTTCGGCACAGACGGTGAATCTGAAAGTGAGGATTCAGAATTTGGAGAAAAAACGCCCGTAGCTAACTTGAGTGCAACACCAAAAGCAGATTACGGAATCGCCATGAATAGTTTAGTAGCTCTTTACAGTACTTATACTATAAATAACGAAAGTCTGAAAAACTTTAAATTTAATCCAAATGTCGCTAAGCAACGCCGATATAAGATGCCAAAGTATAGCACTGACTATGATCTTGAAGTGTTGAACACAAATGAAAGGGTATGGCAGCAGTAAGTATTTTGTTTAATATTTAAAAATATTTCTAATTATAAACATTTAAATTAATGTTCATTTCTTTTAAATTAATATAGATTTAAAAATAAATATGCATATAAACACGCTGCACCAAAAAATATTAAACAATCCTATCAGTCCGCTAGAGACCAAGCGATTTTGTCATTGGGTAACCTTTTGTTTTGTCCCGCTAAGTTTATATACTCAATCGATTTTAAGTATCCAAAAATTATTAAAACTAGGGTATGTATTAAATTAATTGTCATAGGTGTAAGTATTTTTAAAATTAAAATATTTTATAGCTCTTTCGCATGTTCTTTAAATCTTCTTCTGCCAAGCTCTAAACTGGTTCTTAACATGGAAAAAGAGGGTAAACCCGAAGTATATATCTAAGACTTTTTATTACAATTTCGATTCTGTAAGACAATTTATATTTAGCAAACCAAAATTAAAAATATGTGTCAAAATTAATAAAGTAAAAATTGTTATTGTAACTGAAATTTGAAGGACTTCTTTTTATTTTAATTATTTCCTGAACAAATTTTTAGTGCATTAGAAATTATTTTAATAGGTTAATAAGTTTTAATAGGTCCAATGAAATTATAAAAAAAAAACTATGTATTCTTTCGATAATTCAGGGTAGTATAGTAGCATATCATTCAATCAGTTAACCATTATGTCAAGCTTGCAAGTGGAAAATATTAAAATCCAAACGAACGAGAAGAAATGGGTTCTATTGATTTAAATTGAAGAATTATCTAGTCTACCTAGAATATTTTAATTTCCAGTTAACCATCTTGTGTACATATTGAAAATGCAAAAATTTGAAAGTAAAATGGAACAGTTTGCTAGAGTACTTACAATATCCTAGTCTTTTAAGAATCTAAGCAAAAAGAGTAAAAAGGAGCATGAACATGTCTAGTCTTATAAAAACATACAATACGTAATATAATATGTAATATAATATGTAATATAATTTCCTTTTAATTGGAATGAGAACCAACCAACTATCATAATGAACTGCAATCTCTTAACTACCAATTGGCTTAATGAAGTTGTGCACGATGTAAGGACATTTTATGAATTATTATCCTAATAATAATAATTACACTTATGTGGTTGGGTGGGATTGGTGTCACTAGGAAATACAATTTTGGTATCACTAAGAAATACTCTTATATTAAATGACAACATTCCTAGTTGTAAATTTTAACTTTTCGCAGACGTATGTAATCACTTATATCTCAATAATTACTTAATATTTCAAAGTCAATTAGTTTATATTCTCATGTCAAATAAGCTCCGCTACCATAATTAACATTGGTCCTTTTAATCTCTTGTCTCTTATTTTGAGATAAGAAACTAACAAGTGGAATAACTTTAAAATGAATATTTTCTTAAAACAAATTAATTTTTTAAACTATGAGTTTTTTAATAAACTCCTTAATTAAATAATTTATTATCCAATTTGTTTAAATTGCTTATTATTCTTTTAAGAATAAACTTCCAACTAAAAAACTGACAGCTAATGTCAATGGCACATATTTTGACAAACTGTCAAAAATATTTGGAAAATCAATAATTAAGCTCTCGAGCTGGCAGCATCAGTTGGGCCAGCATAAGCACAACACAGTAGTAAAAGCTTTCCACTTTCCTTCCACATGGCATAATGAGAGCATTTCTGTTGGATGCTCTTTGGCTTTTTGCTTCGCTGTCAACACACCAAACCAATAACGGGAAGAAAAACAACAACAAACAACACGCGAAAAAAACAGAATTGCAGTCTTTGTATTTGCAAATTGTTTTGGTTCATTGATGAGATATGAGAGTAAACAGTGGACATATCGGCACATGCTGTGGTTTTTGTTTTTGTTTAGAATGTAGGTGCCGTGTGACAACAACAACGACAGCGATAGCGACAGCGACAATGAGCAGAGTGTGTGTGGGTGACAAGGGAAGTTTAATACAAAAACTAATGCGGTTTACTGTGTGAAATGCTTATGGAAAATGCTTATACCACTGAGCAATTTGACAATTGAACTGAAGCTCTTTGTATGTGAGGCGTTTAGCACAAGTGCTACCTACCGTACGAGTATTTTATATCAAACAATTGTTTTGGGAGCAGACAGCTTCAATACACACACACACACACACACACACTATTAAAGAAGTGCTTACAAAACATTTGATGATATTTTGCAGGATGCTCATTTTTGACAGTTATGGATGCTATACTGTATACGACGGTATGAAAAAAATTGCGTGGAAACGAGTTGAGTTGAGATTTTTGCTTTGTCGCGTTTCGCTGCTGTGCTGCTGTCATTTTCACTTTGACAAAAGCAGTGCAAGTGAAATTTTTTTGTTGTTGGACACTTTTGACCAAATCGAATAAATTTTTGTGATATTTTTAATTAATATATAAGTCCAAAATACATAAAATGTGTACACATTGCAAATTAAATGTTCCTAAAAAGTTAAAAGAAAGCAATTGAGCAGAAAACGTTAGTTTGTGACTGAAAAAAATTGTTTGCAAAATTTTTCGCGAGAAAAAAAAAACGCAAGTTTGTCTAGAAATTAGAAATTTTGCTGTCGCGGTGTATTTGTTGTTTTTTTCCTTGTTTTCTATTTATTGGTTTAGTGATTTTTTTATGCCTTGCCATTGTTTAACTTTATTTGTCTCTGCGTGTTAGTGTTAGTGTTGTTGTTGCTATTGTTGGTTGACTTGATAGTGTCAAAACAAAAGCTGCCATAGACGTATTGTCCTTGGTGGCGACGGTTTTCCGTGCCGTGGTAGTATGAAGCACGTCTGGCACATCCAGCGTGTGAATTTTCGTCATCAGCCGCCACAGTAGCATCATCGCCTTTGACAGTTCTTTGATGTTGTTTCGTTGAAAGGAAAAAACTTCCGCGTTGTGTTTACATTTTATGTTTCTAAGCTCTCGTATCTCGTGTGGAGAGCATTTAAGCATTGGAGCATTGGCGTTTATGTGCTGGATTCTCGTGGCTCAATTGATGGAGCATTTGTTTTGAAATTGAGTATGTCAACACGCATTCGGTACAGTGACGTCCATTAAGTTTCGTTGTTTATACTTTTTTTTGCGTGAATAAAAACTTCATTAAAATTTACTTTATGTGATTTTTTATTGCATTTTTTATTATATGCAAAGGACACAAAATCAACTTACGATATGAAATACAACTGCGGGATATCAACAGGTTTTTTACCGGTAATTAATGGGTAAGCACAAGTATATTTTAGTTTTTATATTGGTATTAATAATAATTTTAAATTACTATTAATTTTGTTTTAAAATAAATAAATAAAAATAATAGACATAATAGTAACTAATTAATATGAAAAAAGTAAAATTAAACAATTGAATTAAATAAATGCTTGTCTTACATATAATAAAATATTAATTAGAACAGTGGCGTCACTTTTTAAAGCGCTAGGGAATGAAATAGCTTAGAAGAGTCTCTTTTCTATTTTTTAATATAAAAGTATGAAATGTCCAACAGTTTTGACGTTCTTTGACTATTGCGTTTGAGCATCCGTTCCTGTACCTCTCCATTTAAATACCATTAAAATATATAGACTATAACTTTATTTTATTCGAAAATTTTTCGAATATTTTATTCGAAAATTATTCGAATATTTTATTCAAAAATTATTTAAATATTTTATTCGAAAATTATTCAGATATATTATTCGAAAATTATTCGAATAATTTTTTTGGAAATTATTCGAATTCATTTCTTAACACTTTCCGCAACTTTAATAAAACAATTGGTGCTTAAGAGACTGGTGTCATTATGGTAGTTGATTATTTAAATATTTTATTTAATAAATATTCGAATATTTTGTTCGGAATAATTCGAAAATTAATCGGATATTATTCGAATATTTTATTTTTAAAATATATTTTGTATTTTTTTTTATGTTTATTAGAACTGTGAAGTGATTTGGATATTACTTCATATCATATATTTATTATATCGAAGCTCGAAGATATCCTTAATACCGGAATAACTATACATATAGAATAAGAGGAAATACGTACTCATGAGTAATTCCTCAAAATGTTTTCAACAATTTGTGATGTCCTTATATTAGGCTTCATCTTCATTTTCATTTCATTTCAAGTTTGACGCATAAACTCTTATCTTCATAAGGAAAGTTTCGCTGCGTACAACAGTTTAGTACGCACGAATCATTATAGCTATCCATATGGAGCCACGTGGAAACTATGTGTTAACTTAAAGCGAACAGTGGCAAGGATCGTGCTGTTATTTATCAAGTTGAATGCAATTAGACACTTTATATTTGTATGTGCACTCTTTCATAATTTGGGGTGGGAGGATCGTGTGGGTTTGTCAGAGGTGGATGGGTTGTATTGGTTAGAAAATTAATTTAAAGTTCAGATATAAAAATATAGTTTAAGGTAATCTATTATATCTAGTATAAGACTCCTGAAACTCTTTCGTAGAGTTTCAACTTTAAGACTCCTCCATGTAAACGCCACTGTGCTTAGAAAAAAAGTGTAATTCAGTGAGTGATTGCGAGAATAGAGTTATTTGTAAGAAACTTTTCTAAGATAATAAAATATGACATATGTATAGGGTGTAATGAATGCGATCACTTGCAATCTCTAGTATGATCAAAAATAAGTTTGAAACTACTTAGCAAAAGTTAAGGTAGTTAAGTTTACTTTGATAAAGTGTTAAAATAAGTCAAAGTAATATTTTTCCATATGAAAAAAGTATAAAAATTAAAAAAAAGTTATATCCATATATTTCTATTGAAATTAAAAACGTGTCACAGTTCCATTGCTATCCACTCCAACATCCAACACACTTGATGAGTTTTCATGCATACAAACATTTGCTCACATACCACAATAAGTAAACTCATAGAGCATTAAACTATTTAAGCACTTAATAACAAAGACTTTAATCCTTAAAATGGCTTAACCGAAATAACCATGCCAAATTGAATGGAACTGACTGCATTTATTTGCCTCTTGTGCTGCAACCCAAACATACATTGGCTCTTTTGATTCGCCCGGTGGCGGTTTGGTGCAATAGTTGATTTTCAATAGTTTGTGAACCGGTACCTATGGTTCGTCCGTCCATAGATTGCACTATAAAGCGCATTACACGTTTAAGGAAAATTGTTACAATAACAACAACAAAAACAAGCTATGGTAAAAAAAAGAAATAACAAAGTGAAATGAACAATCAACGAACGTTTCATGGTTGACATTTCACATGACAGGTTTGTAATGCGATTTAGTGGGATAAAGCACAACCGAACTATGTAATACCCATACAATAACCGATCCAGACACAGCAGGACGCAG